AATTTTGTGCCTTGGAATCTAATGTTCTTTATTTTGTCAAAGACATTTAAACAATACATTATAACAGTTATAGAATCTAACTATGTGACACCATGGGACTGAATTATACATTAGAAGTGGGATTGGGTCTCAGAGCTTAGAGTCAGGGTTACAACTGACGTATATTCAAGGCTCCATTCTGATGTTTAGTTACTAAGATTTGGTGTAACCTTAGGCACGTTCCTTCAGAAATTGGCACTTCAGTTGTGCCATGCCCCAAGTAAGCATCATAGCACCTACCTCACAAAACTGATTATTAAATGAGTTAGATATCCAAGAGTTTTTAAAGCTACTGTGGCACAGGCACAAGAGCCAGACATGGGAAGTATTCCATGTTGTTACTGGAGTTTGCACTTACTCGTAGAAGAGCCAGCAGTGAGGAGCTCTCTTATGTCATCGTGTAGCAGAACCCACAGAGTTGATGGCTCCCATCATCACCACTGGCATGTGAAAAACTCCTGGCTACAACTCTTCACATTTCCGGAAATGAATGTATGCATGCATGCATGTATGCATGTGGCCTACAATCCAGCATTCAGGAAGCAAAGGCAAGATGATCACACGAGATTAAAATTAGCCTAGGTTACATAAAGAGACCCTGTCTCATAAAAACAAGGGCAGAGGCTATAGCTCAGTGGTAGAGCATCTTGTTCAGTAAGAATAAGGCCTTAGGTTCAACCCCAGTACTGCAAAAAAAAAAAATGCAATCACTGACCCCCTACCCAAATCTATTTGTCTAACCATAGTCTATGTTGTTCACATAAGAGGTCTGCTGATCAACTTTTACCATCTTAAAATTTTATTATGCATATTCTACATTCAAGGCATCATATTAAGCATTTATGAGTTGACATGGACAGATGCCATGTAGAATATGACATGGACAGATTTAGCACAAACTGATGAGTTTATGACATATTCATTGAAAACCTAGATGCTAAGTCTAGAGTGAGACATGCTACAAAGACAGGTATTTGGATCTGAATTATGTCCTCCTGTTGTTTAGGACTATCTTCCAAATCAAACTCTATCTTCAGAAGTTCAGCTAGGTCAGTTCACCAAAAATCATCGTGGTTGGGCTTGTTGACTGGAGATCTGCTTTCTTGGAAGAAGGGGGCTAAGAGGGTCAAAACACCCTCACCTGAACATCCAGCCACCCATCTCAAACAGTTATGTGCAATTTTTTCCTAATTGCATGTGGCCTTAGGATCTTTGGGTAGGGCTAGAAGATAGGTGAAAAAGAATTAGAGGAGACTCCACCTACATAACCGGGGAATATCATCATCCATGTTGGATGCAGAACTTCCAGGGAGGCTGCTTTAGAGTCACCCATGCTCCAGTCCCTAATTGCTCAGTCTTTGCTATGTAAGTAAGCCTGATAAACTGTTTGGTTCCCTAGAGTGAACTTTGATAGAATCCAATCTTAGTTTGTCATTTGGGTCCTGAGAAGGAGGGTAGACACTGTTTACATCTCTTCCAAGGAAAGAATTTTGGCAGCACCTCCCCCACACCAGATTTGTATATTTAAGTTCCCAGAATCTCAGAATGTGGCATAGGATCTTTACAGAAGTATTTAAGTTAACATGAGGTCTTTAATGCAGGTCCAGTATGCTAGTATGTAAGAGAAAACCTAGACACAGAATTAAATAGAAGTAAATTGTGTGAAGATGAACATCTACAAGCCAAGGAGAAGTACCTGAGAAGAAATTGACCCTACTAACAGATTAACCTTGGATCTCTACATTTATATAATAATTCATTCTGTCATTGTGTGTGTGTGTGTCTGTGTGCACACGCGCGCGCGCTCGTAGATCTAAGTAGGTCAAAGGACAACTTGTGGAAGTAGGTTCTCTTTTCCTACTGAGTGGCTTCTGTGGATAGAACTCACATTATCAGACTTGATGGAAAGCACGTTTACCCTCTAAGTCTTCAACATAGAAGATGGATATGTGTAGTTGGAATATTGGATTGTTTTCATAGTAGGAAGACCATGTGAAGCATATGGACGAAGAAAGCACTGTAGTTAAAGTTTAAATTGGAGGACAGGTTTTCCCAATAAACCCTTTTAAGCCAAATAATAGCTGAGTTATCCATATAAATATTGATTAGATTCTGGGTTACAGAAGAAACCTATCTTTATCTGTTCAGAGAGCTATGTTTTACTTAAGTTGTGTAAGTGAGATTCCTATTCATCTTCCCCTTCACTGTTTGATTTACAGCAGACATTTTTCTATAGGCTAATCCATAATCTAAAAAGATTTTAAGCCTCCCCTCCTGAAAGTACAGCCAGCGTATCTTTTCATCAGCTTGATATGGTACAAATTCTTATCCTAATAGTGAAATGTTTCACTAAAGCATGCCCAGTAACTGGGCAAAACCAAAACTTGTTAGTATTTTTACTATTTTCTACAGAGAAAATATTTTCCAGTTTCAAATAACCCTGGACTTTGGAATTATAACCTGTTTTTATGTTCAAAAAATTTAAGTGGAAAATGCTGAAGGAAGACTGAACTCGATGTTGTATGTACATATCTATATCTGTATAAAACAATGATTATAAATGTTTGTTTAAAAAGGTGAAGTGCAAATGTGAATTTAACAAGAAGTTGTAGATTTTCAACACTGTACACAAACTCCTTTGTTACAAATAAATATTTATGCGTCTAAAAAATAAGAGTTCAAGGCCAGCCATAGCTATACAGTATGTGTGAGGCCAGCCTGCGCTACATGAGACCCTACCCAAAAACAAACAAACAAACAATAAATAAATAAATTGGAGGATAGGAGAAAACATACATAATAAGGAGACACAATAGGTTTGCAGGTTAGTGTGGATGCAGTGAGAAACCACTGAACTATTTTGGTGGAACCATAACACTGGAATTGTGTGTGGAAAGATTAGTCTTATTTTAATAAGTTACTTAATAATTTAAGACTGTTACATGACAAAGATTTGGAAGAAGAAAGCAATGAGTTAGAGAAGAATGACCAGTGACCTATGGAAATAGGACAAAGGATACAGAAGAAGATTCTAAAGGGTAGCCATTGAAGAAGCAAAGTCTCTGGGATAGGAGAGATAACTGTTCTGTGGAAGGTGAGAGGCAGAAGGGAAGCTCAGAGAGGCTTTCTGCTCCGGGAGGATGGCAAATCTGCATAACCACAAATGCTCAAGTCCTTTCTAGGTGGTAGAGTACTTGCATATACCTACACACGTTTCTATAATCAACTCAGAATTGTTTATAACGCTTAATGCAATGTGAACACTGTGAAAATCATATCTATACTTCACTATACATATTGTTTGGTTAATGGTGAAAAGAAAACAAGTCTGTGCAGGTTCAATATAGATGAAATTTTTTTTCAACTATTTTAAGTTGTTGGGTATCCACAAGTGCAGATTTGTAGATCAAATACAAAAATCGTTACTTAGAGCTATGCACTACCTTGACATTAGCTGCCAGGCACACTTGTTTATGGTTGCTTGGGCATTCTCAGTCTTAGAGAGGTCAAGATAGTGCTTTGGATCTTGGTCAAGCTATGAGAGTGGTGTCACCACCAAAAGAAATAACAGAAAAAAAAAAAGAAGTCTGGGCAAATAAACCTAGGGTACACTTAGGAAACAAAGTCACTGAAAAGGATGTGGTGGGTGTGTTGGAGATGGAGGAGGACAGCTTGTACTTGTGGGGAAAAAAAAGCTCTACTAGGCCCCCTGGTGTACTGCTAGAGTCTTGAAGGAAGATCTCCAGGTGTACTCATTTAAATTTGTGGCATGTTCAGAGGAGTAAAGTGCTCCCAGGTTATAGCAGAAAATAGAGTCACCTTTTTTTACTTGCATTCTCAGACAAGGAAATAGAAATCTCAGTTTCTTCTTAACCATGAGAGATCTAAATGAAAGTATCTAGAATCAAAGGCGTGCGCCACCACTCGGGAGGCAGAGGCAGGTGGATCTTTGTGAGTTCGAGGCCAGCCTGGTCTACAGAGCGAGATCCAGGAAAGGCGCAAAGCTACACAGAGAAACCCTGTCTCAAAACAACAACAACAACAACAAAAAAAAAGTATCTAGAATCAAAGAGCTTAGTAGTACACATGTCCTACTTCACTTCTCCGTAGCTGTGATACGACATCGACCTTAGGGAAGGAAGGGTTTATTTCAGCTCTCACTTCTATGTAACGGTTCCTCTCTGAAGCAAATACGGTTAGGAATTCAAGGCAGGAGCCTGGAGGCAGGAACGGAAGCATGGAACATAGAACCCTGCTCTCTGGCTTGTGTGAGGGTCACCTTTCTTATACCTCTGGGGACAAGTTGGCTACGACTGGCAACACCTACATCAATCGACAATCAAGAAAATGCCTCACAGACAAAGTTCCATTCGAGATTGCGTATTTTCATTAAATTTAAAGAAAAAATATGTGAATGCAGCCTCCTGGTGTGGATGCTGGAAGTCACCCAGTCTGACCTCCTTCTCCCAAGAAGAGGCAAGGGAGCTCAGTGAAGGTTACATTAATAAATGTTCTCTGAATCTTCACATTTTCGTCTCTTCACTGCTCATACAGGGATTCTCTTCCTCCTCCACACTGCTTGGTTTCTTCTCTCTGCACAAGGCCTCCCTGTGATGCACAGGTTTATGTATCCTGCGGTGTAAACGCATACAGAAACTATATGGTGCCCATCTGATCTGCTAGAGGGAGAGCTAGTCTGTCCTCTGCCACCACTGGAAGCCCTCAGGTGTGCCTCCTCAAAAGGAAAATGCTCAGAGTGGGGAAGGCCCCTGACTATGACTTTCTTGGTTTGGAACCTTGTACTTTTCAGCTTGAAAGAAATAATGATATTTCATCCAAGTGGATTTATGAACAGTTGTAAACATTTTACAGCTCTGAGATTTCTGGGCATGTTTAACTACTATAAAATAAAAGCATTTGTACTGAATACCAATTGGTTTTAAATTAACTTACAGATCCAAGAGAGTTCAACTTTTATTTTGAAGAGCATAGTGACAACATTTATTTTCCTTTCACAAGATGTACGTGTACATATAGTAAAATGGGTATGAAGATGGAACAAATGGACATGTCAATCATTTCAGTTACTAGTTCCCATTGAAATGTAGCTATGATTTACTTATTTAGGAAAAAAAATCCTCACTATAATATTTTATTGTTAACTATAATCCTTATGTATTTTATTTCCTAATGAATATTAAACTTTAACAAGAAAGTAGTCTAAATACACAGTCAACTCTAAGCCCTATGAATGAGCTTTAAAAGTCAAAATTTTGTGTTGAATTGTATCTAAACAACTTTAGACAGATAAACTTCTACCACCACTAAAAGCCATTCTACAGAGGCTCCCTGTGGTATCTATTATATGATGTTCAGAAACAGTTAATAAACTGCTATGCTAAGATAGAATCTTATTAAATATCTTAGCTGATTCTAGTTCTTTTGGTACCAACATTTATCAATAACTTGTCAACACTTGCTTCATTGATATTTTAAATAATTCTTTAAAACAAGTGTAGAAAGTGGACATAAAGTCCATACATTGCAATCGAAGAAATTTTGTCATTATTTGTCTTTGTGGACAGAAAGCCAGTGACCAAAAAAAATTAAGCTGTTTCATTAAGTCAGTTGACTGGCTATGACCATCATAGCCTTTGACCCAAGGTTTCTATGTGTCACCTCCCAGATCAGTCTGGAAGAGCTGCCCAGTATAGCAATTCAGAACCAGTAGCACATGGGTGAGAACCAGAAATCTAACCATGCTATATTTTAGTAACTGTAAGTCATGGACCCAAGAAAGCAAGCTCCCAAACATATTTGCCAGGGCTCAACTTCAAAGCCACAGAGGTTTGATTTAAAAAACTAGAGAGTTTTCTCTTTATCCATCCCATGTGGGTGAAGGTGGTTTCCTCAATGATTTCTGCAGACTTCTTCTAGAAAAAAAAAAATCAAAGAATATTGAACTCAACATTATAACCATCATAATATACTCCACCCCAGCACTGTTTCCTATATTAATCCTTTCTGAGTATTTTTATCAAAGAATTACTTGCCATAATAATTTAGCCTAAATGGAATTTTCATGAAACCATGTTGTTTTTTTTTTCTCAAGTTGTGTACTGACTCTGTAATGCTGTTAATATAAATTTTCCTTTTAAAAAATGACAACTTTGAACTTGGGAACATGTCTACAAGCTCTCCTGACTCAAAGATATGGGTAAGGAGTATTTAATTATAGGTATAGAGGGGATTAACACGTACCTGTTCTATGAAGTAAGATTATTTTAGCTGGATCTATGTCAAGGGCATTGGCACGGCAAGAAGAAGGTGGTGAACAGGTGGCTTGTCCTGCCATTTGCACTGGGGTAGGAGATGGATAACTGGGTCAGTCAAGTTCGTTCTGTATTGAAGAATCGTCTGCCAGCTACTGTGTTGGCTGCCACAGCCTGTCTCAATCAAGCATAACTGCAGATTTCAGAAAAGTGACATGGATCAAAACAAAACCCACATTTCATTTAGGTTCAAACTAAGAGCCAATGCTAATATTGACTACGTGTTTGATTACCAAGTGATAGTTGAGTATTCCACTGTACAAACCACCTCTTGTTAAAATTAAAAAAAAAATCTTGGATCCTTTTGAAATATGGATAGGTTTGGTTTATTCATTTAAATGTAAGAAAAAGTAGTGATGTTGAAAGAAGGAATGTCTCTTTGATGATAATCGCAATTCAGAAGGACTTGGGGGAGAACAATGACAACAAAAACAACAAACAGACATAAAACCCATCTAGAAAATTTCTAACATCCATAATTGATCAACATTTCCTGAAGACACACATGTTTTCTTTCATAGTCGGTTTAAATGGCTCAAAAACAGCAGGACAATGGCCAGACTCCCTTGTTAAAGGAAACAATTACTTGGTAGTATAGGTTATTTTAATGGACATATCACTTTAAACAAAGCCATCACATCTGTTCCACCTTCTAATTACAAATGCAACAGGATGCAATTCACCAATGCGTCATAAAAAAAAAAAAAACATAAGTGATTGAAATGCATGTGTATGTTCCTTAGTAGAAGCAGCATGCAATCTGCTGTGTTTATTACATGTTCTGGGCACAAATCAGATGGAAAACCTGCTCCCTGCTGAAACGTGACTTCTCCTTGGGTGTGGTTGGTACTGTATGGGCACCATGGCTCTATCACCCTATACGTGCCTGACAGAAACAGCAAATATTCCCAGACAAGCTCTTTCTGAACACTGATGCTCTGCGACCAACATGATGGAGCACACATCATCTCGATGCGTGTTGAATGTGTGTATATCTATATATATTGGCTAGTTGTTGTGGCTTGAATGTGAACTATAACCCTTGTGCTCATTTATTTGAACACTACTCTCCAGCTAGTGGCCATGACTTGGGAAGTTGTAGAACATTCAGGAGGCAGAGCATCACTACAGAAAATGGGTCACTGGGAGCGGGCCTTGAGGATTTATAGCCTGGAGCCTCTTTGTGTCCCTCTCTGGCAAGATGTGAGAAAGTCTGAATCACACCCTCCCACTACCACAGAGTTGCCACAGTCGGGCCTTCCCACCATGATGTTCTGGACCTTCAAACTGTCAGACATTTGGTCACAGCAATAAGAAAAGGAGTTGCTATACTTGTGTATGGGATGTACTCTTCTGATACGTAAGAGACAATTTTGCCTCAGAACAAGGAGAAAGTGTGAGAAGTATTTTTACGGTGCTATCCCAGCTCTCTTTGGTCCAAAGAAGTGACCGAGTACCACCCAATGCTCCCAAACAACTATTTTCAATTTTCATAATAAATAGGAAAATAGGCATGAGTTTATGTCATACCTCTCTCCAAAAAAAGATAAATTGTTTTTTCTTCCTAAAAGTAATCTAAATTAAGGAAAGTATTTGGATGGGAATCAATTTAGACCTCAGAGTGGGGCAAGGAAGCATTTGACTAAAAGTAAGGAGTCAGGAGATAAAATCCTGTAGGTAGGAAAGCAGAATGAAACAGCATAATCAGAGTGCTGGGGGAGGGGGAGCACCGAGCGTTGAAAACTTACATCTTTTCTCAAATGTAGATTGAACTCACCTGGGGTTTTTAATATGCATTTTATAACTGGAAGTGGTGGAGGGATGTGGCTGGAGCTAAAGTTTCCCAATTCAGAAGCAGCCATGTCAAACCCAGGTGCTGTGTTCTGCCCTCGGGAAAGACCTGTTGCCAACACAAAACCTGGGAAATCCTTTAGGAGAACAAGTGAGCCTGCAAAGATGGCCTGGAATTGACCAGCTCTGACAACGTCCTGCCACTTTAAATAGAAACAACAGAGCAAACGCCAGCGAGGGTTTTCAGTCTGAGAACAATGTTTGCATTCTGTTTGTTATAACTAAATCTCGGGTAAATTCTACCTGTATCACCCTTCTAGAACTAGAGAGAGGATAAAATTAGATCATATATAAAGTACTTAGAGCAGTGCCGGGGAAACACTAGCCTTTAATGTTTTCAAAACCTGGCCACTTGCCTGTCTTTCTTGTCTAATAAATAATTAATTTTAAATTTTAACTCATAGTTAAACATGGGAGTTAAAAATAAAATTTGATGACAGCACTGTATACAACCAAAGCTCCAAAATCATTGACTACTCATGCAAGCACACTCACACACACTCACATACACACACATTCACACACACACACAAACACACACACAAACACACACACACACACACACACAAGTTGGCCTCTATTTGTGGGCTCAACATCTACATACTCTATTGGCAGAGCTAGAAACTGCTTATCATGTGCAGACTCATCTTCCTGTTATTATGACATAACAACACAATATAACAACTATTTGCATCATACTTTGTATTATATGCTTTCTAATTATGGATTAAAATCTGTAAGGCATATTATATGCAGATACTATGCCTTTCATTCATTCATTCACTTGCTTATTTTGATTTTTGAGACAGGGTCTCATGCAGTCCAAGACAGCCTCGAATTTGCTGTGTAGCAAGGTGGCCCTGAACTTCTAATGCTCTCCCCCGACCTCTAGGGTACTGGGATTGCAAGACTGCAGCACCATAACTGACCTTACTATGGCTTTTTAAATAAAGGATTTGAACATGCAGAAAATTTTGGATCCACAGAGCTTCTGAGACTCTAAATCCTAGATGACTAAAATCGAAAGGCAATACAATAAAACTTATCTTGGACTTACTTACCCTTGAAATCACAAGAAAATTAAGCTTATTGTAGAGCCTCAAAGTCCAGCCAATACGGACTTCAAGGTTCACTGCCCTTTCTCTCTGTGTGGGATCTAAATGCCTTCAGCCTCTGTCTCCTCATCTATCACATGGAGATAATAACTAGTACAAGTCCAGAGACTTGGTGGTGGCGACTGGCAAAGCAACAACACACTGTGCTGCCTAAATCACCAAAAGTCCTCAGCCAAGAGTAATTAGTATTATTAGAGCACCCACTCCTGGCATCAAATTTTGTCACTTTCTGTGAAATCTTTTAAAGCGCATCCTGTCATTTTCATGAGTAAGAAGGAAATCCTGGTGGGGTTTGGAAAAAAAAAAGGACCCTGAAGAAAATCATTTCTCCTTTACATATGAATCTGACTTCCTTTGATATCAACATGATATCCCCATGCGCATAGAAATGAGGCAGACCGGATGCTCTGTGCATCTATTTGGCTTGTAACTTCAAAAGCAAGACTCCAAAGCAATCTGTTGTAGCGTGTGGCCCTCACAGCCTCCTGACTGGATTCACTAAATGGCAGCAGCTAGAAACTCATCTTCAAACTGTAACTTCTCCCCTCGTCTCACTGACAGCAAAAGACATTCACACATGCATCCACTGAGTGTTTTCTTTCCAACCAGCTTCCTGGCCTCTCCACTCTCACTGTGGCATCCTAATGTCAAAACGTTGAACCTGTACTGTCCTGGCCGATCTCCCAGCCATGGATCACTCGAGCCTAAATCCACAACCTTATGTAGCTCATCCAACAGCCTTACTCAATGATATGCCTGCACTCCAAACTATTGCCATAACTTGGAATGCAGAAATAACCCTTAGCTCACTTACCCTCCAGATCTACTCTCATTTCCCACTCTGCTGTATATACAGACCTCTGGGAATTCTTGGTTTTTAGCTTCTAATTGGGTTTAACCGAAGAAAAGTGTAGTACACACACCATGGATGAAAAAGTTGAGAGCAGAGACAGACACCTTTCCCTTTCTTTTTAGAACTTGATTTAGTAATGGCTATACTTCTCTACACAAAGCCATAGCCACAGGTCCTGCTGCCTATGTGAAGTGAAACTCTTCTTAGCTTTTGTCAATGGTTCCAGCATCATTCTCCTGCAAGCATGTTAGTGGCATGTGCGTGCTCAATATGTGCCACACTCAGCGTTTGCCCCTGCTGCACATGCTCCCCATTCATGTGATTATCCACTATGTTAAAATGCAGCCAAGGCCCTCACCAGAGGCTCAACACACAGGGTAATACAATTTCTTACTTCTATTTATCAAAACCGTGAGCAAAATAAACCTTTTTACTTTCTGACTTACTTCAGCTATGGTAACACCAAATAGACTGATAGATCTGGTTCTGGCTAGGACTTTAATTTATACAGGGTGGTTATAGAAAAATACTCTAGTAATAGGAGTCTGGGATGGGGCTATCCATCTGGTTCATAAATGCATAAGCAAATCCCCCACCAGAAAAAAAAAATAAGAGACTGTAGTTCATGCCATGCGCCACCAAAGTGAACACTCAGATCATCTACATCTCCTAACTGTCCCTTAGGAAGCCCAGATGAAATATATGAAGTATCAAAGGAGTTTTAATTTGCATTTCCCTGATTACTAAGGATGTGGAACACATTTTTAGATACTTCTTAACCATTTCACACTGCAGGAGGGTGTAAAAATGAATTCTATTGACTCCATGATTCTGGTGGAGCACAGTAGGGGTGATTGGCATTAAGTAACAAGTAAGTGATAAAAATAAAGACATCAACCCTACTATGCCTACCAGGACCAGGGAATAAATAAAATATAAACAAAATATAGCTACCTTATAACAACTTCTGGAAATTTTACTAGTGTATAAAACCCAAAGGTCTTGAGCCCAGATACCGGATGTGGTAGTTAAGAACACTGTAACCACTAGTGATGGTTAATCCCATCACCAGCTCCACAGATCTCTGAGAAAATTTATTTAATTACCTGGGCCCAGTGTTCTCACTGACCTCATAGGTTTGGAGACCAAGAAAAGTATTTCTTTTACTTATCTGGCACCTAATAAGGGTACAATAAACTATATTATTATCAATTTAGTGTATATTCATTTTATATTTTTAACTAATAAATAACATTTATGTACTTATCATGATTAATGTGGTGTTTTAAAATACATTATATATATAAATAATATATATATATGTGTGTGTGTGTATGTTGTATAGTGGTTGAATGAGTTAACATATTAATTACCTCATGTTTATTTTATGCATTATTATTATTATTAGAACTATTGCTGTATTGGTTCAAAGCATAATAGAAATTATTGAGTAAATATGTTTATCAGATTCTG